CACTTTCCGGTTAGAGAAAGAATGACTTTCTATTTATGGTATGTTGAACAAAGATTGTATCAAGGATCTTTAGATGTGGTATGAGTTCTTACAACGTTTGTGGAAAGATGGAGGTAACCACAAATCTCACAAAGACACAATGTTGACTGGATGATGCCTTACCAGATTGGTGAGCAACAGGCTGCTGCTGGTCTGGTTGAGGAAGCTCCTAATTAAAGAACTTGAACTCTTTGTTATAGGAGATATAAATGGAGTTCAAAAGGGGTGTAAGACACTCTTTAGAAATGTGTATGGATTAGCTTGCTTTGGTAAGAATAGTCTTGATAATCGTTATGTTCACCTTAACTGGGTATACAAACTAGGTTTGTATTAATGCGGTTGAGATGAATTTAAGAAAGCTATTTGTTGAAAAATACACTTCTAGGACTTGAGATAGTGGGTGTGTGTTTGGGTGAACTTGAAAAGTAAGTGACACAGTGAGTTATCCTGGTTCAAAGGTGATGTAATCCTCCTACATCCACCCACATCTAGCCTTGATCACAGGCCTAGATTGACAAATTTCCAAGAGGTGTATAACATCACTCCAAGTTACTCTATCCTTAGGTGTTTCACTAATGAACCCAACTGATTCAAAAGTTACTCAGTCCTATTCTACCCACACTTTAGATACCTTCCAAAGATTTTACAGTTTGTCAATTACAAAGTAATTCTAACCTTCAAACTTAGATTAAGCTCTAAAAATATATCTTTGTATGAACTAGTCTAAGAGCTTAAAAGTGTGAGTGAGCTTAGAGTGAAGTGATGGATTCAAACTTTCTCTTTGCTGGATCTCCGTATGAGCTTGTGTTGTATGATTATGTATTTATAGACCATTTGATGTTGAATATCCCCCGTTGGCTAAGTAGATTCAATCTTCACCGTTGAATATCCCACTTGGTTTGAGTATTGAGGAGCATGAACTTCTTTTGTCTTCATACGGCCTATTGAGGAGCATGGACTTTTTTTGTCTTCATACGGCATGCATGCGACCCTTTTTGTATTTATATTTATTGTAGTGAAGTATTTTGAGGAGTATGGGCTGTATATACAAAATCCTTCATCGTATATTCCTTTTGATTTTCAGACAATTTATTCAGTCACTCATTTAAGACTTTTACTGTTTGAGGGTCCCATGCAAATAATTTTTGGCAATCCTTTCTTTTCAATAATTACAGGTCTTACAAAGTATGTAAATGCCATATACTTGTTTGGATCGCAATGTGCATCAGTTATTTCCACGACCTTTATTTTTACTTTACCTTTTTAAGAATTACTGTGGATCCCATCAAAAGTGAAACTTTTTTATTTTGACTATGATGCTGGAGAGAAAGTTGTAGAGAAAATTTTGGTGGTTAACTTTGGTTTGACTAGCGGGGTTTGTTTCCGAGTGTGGGAAACATGCTAGTCCTGGTCTTTGATAGCCGACTTATGAAATTCACTAGCAGGGTGCTGGTGAAATTAAAAACATCCAGTTAACTATTTTCGTACCTATTCTTTTTCTTTTGGTACATTTTTCTCTTTTTAGTACTCTTCTTTTTGTTTTCTTTTTGTATGTGTATTTTTCTTCTTTTGGGAATTTAAAACAACAGAAATTATAAAGTACATCAAACCAAGCTTCTAGTCTAATACAGGTGAATCATCAAAATACAGAGAGACCTAATAGCCGACATACATTTGTGCCACGTGCAGGTCACTCGGCGTGTTCTTCAATCGAATGATGAAGAGATTCTGGTAGTCCAGGCTGGATAAGCCCGGACCCATTCCCCTATGTCGGCTCGTCCCGTCCATTGTCTTCCTATTTCCAACCAGCTTGGCCCCACGAACAATATAGATAGGGTGATGGTAGGGGATAATAGGTGATGTGGAAGCCTCACCAACTCCCCGAGAGCAAATCGTGGCAACCTCGACCTCAGATCCTTCGCGGTTGTCTGCAGTACGATACTCGCTCGTATTCTCCATCTTAGCATTGAAATCCTCCACGAGTTTCAATGGCACCTTTGGCCTCTCCAACGTCCTCCTCCTCAAAGTTGTAGTACTCCTCGGCCCCAGACTCAAACACGACGGCTGGAGACCCAGAGAAATTTTGAGAATCAGAGGACGTCATACTCTTAAAACGGGATCTTTAGGAGAACTACAAATATATCTATGGGAAGGTTTTCACTAACACTAGACCTATCAGCTAAGAAGCAAAGTACAAGCAAAACACGAAGAACAAACAAAGATCTGACCTTGTAGTTTTGAAGGATGCGAATAATCCTTTATCTCTCTAGAAATTTCAGCAACATTTCATTACAAATCAAAGGAAAATGAGGAATGTCTCCTCGAAGGTGGGGTATTTATAGGTGACCCCCCAACAGACACTACACATGTCACGTTCCTAGTGTGCACATAAGCGGTCGTCAAAATCCTGCCCACTTTGCGGGTACCACCTGTCCAACTTCCACATAAGGATACACAACACCTCACAGTTCAAACCTTGGCCATTAAGCTAAGTGCAAGATACACACCGGCCAAAGGATTTACGCATCATGACAGCATGCCTGACATCGATATAAACTTCCAATGGCGTACACTTTTTCTCGTCTAATGTAAGGGAATGCCAAATCCACATCTAGCTATTTTCCCCGGCCTCCTAAAATGGGGAGAAATTTTTGAAGAGAGAAATGTGCCTCGAACAAAGCCCGAAACGTGATAACCTTTAGCCAGCAACCTTTGACAAGGATTCTCCCACAGGATTGCCTTGATCATGGTTTACTAGAAAGGTTGGATCCACGAGCCCACTCGTAGGTAGCACCTTGGCTTCAAACACACGACCTACTCCTCGACCCGACATTAATCTCAGCTTGACAGAGTGGGGGATTGTGGGACTCCGCCTCGGCCAAGGATTGGCAAATTCAAAAATTATCCACTAAGGGAATTTCGGCCACAATATAGCACGTCTCGGCTAAGGACGGAAAAATCAAGCATTTATCTAAGATCGAGAAAACTCGGAACCCGCCTCGGCCACAAACAAAAAAATTTAAACTACCCTCTATCTTCCTCGAAGTATAGAGTCTTCCCTCCACCATTTTTAAGTTCTAACACCTTCATGTAGCAATCTATCTTTGCATGATGCTTTTCAAGCCAATCCATGCCAAGCATAGCATTAAACTCCAGCAAATCTAATGGTATAAAGGCACCCATTTGACGATGCTTCCGTATCTCCACATCACACGAAGGATGGTAATTATTCCATTCAACGTCATCCCTAGAGGCATAGATACCAATAAGGTTTGTGTCATTGGTGTCAAAGGTGTAGCAAATCCCACGATGAACGCCTCACTAACGAATTAACGTTGCGCCCCTGTATCGACAAGGATCCTCACATCCTTTCCGTTAATCTTTAGTGTTTGAGATCAAGCAGAGGTCCAATCATGAAAGAACAGGCAAAAAAATCAAGTTCGGGGGCCATGCATAGCGTGCGTGTGGGGCGCAAATATAGTATTAATAATGTCATGTTTTTTCATATGAAAGTGTAATTGCGACACATGGTGCTATTTTAATGGTACTAACTTCATCAAGATGATAAAAGTATTCCCTTGCAATTCAAATACAATATTTATAATGCCATTTTCCAATATAAAAATGCCATTCCCATTAACAATGTCATTTTTATGGCACTACTTTGCTTTGTTAAGATAGGAATATAACTATTATTTTAACTTTTTTGAGTTGCAATTCTTCTCATTTTGTATGTCATAATTTTTTATGTGAAATTATCAAGATGGCAATAAAATTATTATCCTATACTTTTATAGGGATGTCAGTAAGATGACATTCCTATTATAAGATGGTCGGCATCGGCGATGGTGCCGAAAGAGGCAAGGGTGGCGCCAATTCAGGTGCTAGTGAAGCAGATTTCAGCGACAAAAACGCCAACTAAGTCGGCTGGCAATGGCGGCAAAGATTGCAGCAACTGCAAAGATATTGGTGGTGGCAGTCACATCGGAGCACTTGTTTGATGCATTGTTTATGTAAAGCTTTTACTTTATTATTTTGTCTTATACTACGTATTTTTAGTAAACAAATTAGTATTAGTATTTTCATTAAAAGTAAATTTATTTACCCACGTCTTTTTGCTCTGGGAGAATTATGTACTTCCTCCTTCCTATTAGAGTTTTGTAAACTTTCTTTTTTATTTGTCCTAAAAACTTTACGAATTTCTTTCTAAAGTCATCAATTAGTGCTTCTATTCATTTATTTCTCCTTTGCGCAAACCTGATGTGGGCATATTGGTTTGGTCTAATCAAACCAATCTGTATCAAACTGAAACTAAATCATATGCAAATGAACAGAAACTGAGAAAAATCGAACCGAACGAAATAAATTCAATAAAACCTTTAACCCATACTATCCTCCGTTTTTTAATCACAACATGTTGAATTTTACACTATTCACATGTTCTACTTTGACTACATTTTAAGCTATTATTTTATAAAATTATTTTTCTAAAATAATATTGTCCAATTCATCTCATTACAAATTTTCAAAATCTAATTTTTTTACTAATAGGGATTAAAATATAATTACAGTCGAAGACGTGCGTTGGCAAGTGTGAAATGTTGACTGTTTCAACTAAAAAAGAACGGAGGAAGTATATTATTAAAAATAAAAAATCCAAACCAAATTAAGGGGGTGTTTGGAACTGATTCTGCTTCTGCTTCTTTTTTAAAAGCAGAAGCAGAATCAGAATCAGTTTTCAGAAGCTGGTACCCCCCAACTTCTAAAAAAACTGATTCTGAGAGTAAATTAGAGCTCCAGAAGTGCTTCTGGAATTTCACCCAAACACTCCAGCTTTTTATTCTGCTCCTTGAAGGAGCAGAATCAGTTTTGAGAATCAGATCCAAACACCCCCTAAAAGAGAATGTGATTTTTGTTTGGCAATTAATCATTCTTCTCATGCTTTCTAAAAATCAATAAAAACAGAAACCAAACCCATATGTTCACCCTAACACAAACAACAACAGTGTAGTGACATACGGGTAATATAGGATTTGAAAGTCTCAGTTTTGTAATGTATTACTGTTTCAAGGTATATAAAGCTAGCTATGTGCATATATTTCCCACTATCTCTCTAGCTTCTTGTGCTTACATTTGGATCTTGTATCTCTTGTGTTGAATGTGATGATGATGAGAAAACCCTAGGGAGCTCATCACCCACAACCTAAATTGGGCAAAGACAACCTCATCAACAAGTAAGCATCACAAGGGGCGCAGTTATGTATGTAAGTAAGAATACAGGCCGCAGGCCTTTTGTATCATATATACATACTCAAAAGATATATAGATGGAGATCGAGTGTAGCGAGCCGGCCTCTTTCTTCGATCGATCTTAGTGGTTCCTAGCGGCTAAGCTAGCTTGATTGGAGATCAGAGCATCATCATCTTCATCATCATCTATCATATCTTTGAGATTTAATTAATTACTAGTAGTGGATAATGAATTGAATTCCTGTTGTTTTGTGTGTGTAGCGTATTCGTTGGATTTTTGAGCTAGAGAGATCGTGATTAATTAATTAAAGATCGACGGAGATTGAGAGGATGGAAGGAGCTGATGAGTACATAGCAGAGATGGATTCTGGAAACAGTGGGAGTTTACAGTCGTCGGGCGATGATGAGCAAAACATTCATCTCACAGCCACTCCAGACCCCCGGCGTGTTGCTGTCCAGCTGCTATTTGGATCCCTTCGCCGCCCTGTCCAGCAGCCGCCGCGTCATGCGGAAGAAACGCTCCCGGAGAGCACCCACCACCGTCTTAACCACGGACACCTCCAATTTCCGAGCCATGGTTCAGCAGTTTTATATGTATATCCAACTTCAAAAAATGATTTGAATGCCTTCCCGATCGAATTTTGAGCTGAAATTTGGTATAGACAAACTAGACTTGATGAGGAACATGCCCAAAAAATTTCATCAAAATATTCCACCTGGAAGTTGCCCAAACAGGCTCGGCCGGACGGAGCATCCCGTCAGGCCGGCCTGACATGAAGACCACTCTATATATATATATACACACACACACACACACCAATATTCCGGTCAGGAATTTCTTGACCGGAGCCCCGTCCGACCTCCTCCATTTGGGGGCCTTCCCAGTGGTATTTTTGCTCAAATTGTTTGTGTATGTTCCTCATCAAGTCTAGTTTATCCATACCAAATTTGAGCAAAAACTTCAATCGGGAAGGTCGTCAAATGATTTTTGCAAGTTAACTAGTCCGGAATATGTATTTTCCGGACCACTGGGAAGGCCCCCAAATGGAGGAGGCCGGACGGGGCTCCGGTCAGGAAATTCCGGACAGGAATAGCTCTCTCTCTCTCTCTCTCTATATATATATATATATATATATATATAGTAATCTTCCGGTCAGGAATTCATTTGAATGTCTTCCCGATTGAATTTTTAGCTGAAATTTGGTATGAGTAAACTAGACTTAATGAATAAGATTCTCAAAAAATTTCATACAAAAATTCTACCGGGAGCCACCTTTAATGGCACGTCCGGACAGAATCTTCTATATAAGGACTTATTTGACCCCTTTTTGCAATTTCGAGAACCAAACTGACCCTTTACTCTTTATATATCACATGGAAAATATACTCAAATGAGTTGAATCTGCTTATTTTGCCAAAACTTATTCAAGTGACGAGATTGGTTGATTCTATCGATTTACAAAAAATTATTTAAAATATATTATTTTAATAAAGTAGAAAAACAATTATATTTAAAAAAATATCTAAAATGTTCCTCTACGACAACTTCAGCCAATTCAACCAGAAAAGTAACTTCAACCTTACTTATTTTGATTATTACACAATTAACATGCAAAATCAAATCTTACTTTTTTTTGTGAAAAAGTTGATTGATAAGACTAATAGGTAAAAAATAGGGTCACCAAATGAACTCTTAAAATTTTTTATTCTTATGTGATCATGCCCGTCACGAGTGGGTCTTTGAAGATTCATGAGAGTGATCATGCAAGGTAGATCTTAGATGTACAATCTTATATTCTTATATTCTTATAGAAGAATTAGAGATCGCATCTTATGAGAACTAGATCTCAAACACGAGTGGGTCTTTGAAGATTCAACTAAGAGCTCGGGTATCTTAGGGAATGAATTTATTACTTTAATTTGGGTTGGGTGTTACTCTTATTTATTTTCGTTTTATTTTCTTTTGTTTTTTCTTTTTTTCTTTTTTTTCCTTCTCCTCATTTCCTTGTACTTTGCTCTTATTAATAAAGTTTCCTTTAAAAGAAGAAACAATTTAATGAGTTTAATGGCGAATTTGGATGCTCATTATTTTTTTGACGGGTATGCTCATTAATATTGATTATTGATTTTAGCCATTAGATTTAAAATAACTTAAAAATAAACGCTCCATACCCACTTATTCACTTTCAATACTAATTTAACGGTTGAGATTAATTCATTACTAAAATATATTTTTCTTTAGTACCACGCAAAACTTAATTTTTAACATGATCAGATTGAAACTAATCAATATATATATATAAAAGAGGAATTTTTTAAGAGTATACAAAGCGCTACATAATCCTGCCATGTCATTATACATATCAATTATTTAGTTATTTTTATACCTTCTATTTTTATTAGCTAGATTCTATTTTTGATTACATATTGATATGGAAACAAAAATCCGTAGAAATATACCTTAATTAATTTGGTAACTTTTTCAAACCCATTACGTATTTGAGAAGTATTAAATTCTTTAATTGGAACCACAACAATTAAGAGCATCTCCACCCATGATCTTAAAATAAATGGTTTTTCTATGACACATCATTGACACATCATATTTATTAAATAAATAAATTTTAAATAATCTCAAATCTTAAAACTCTCCAGCAACCATGATATTCAAATAATTAGTTTTTCTAGACCATGCATTAAATGAAATTTAACTACAACCTAAAATAATCCGGGATTCAAATCCTGATACCGGATTATATTTTTCAATAATCTCTCTAAATAATTTCTCACTCACAATGATAATCTTTAAAATAATCTTACACATCATCCAATTAAACTCTAAATATTCTAAACAATGAGGATGCCCTAATAGCCAAATCTTAAGCACAGACTCAAGGAGTAATAATCATTTTTATACTTTTTTTATTACATTCTATTAAAGAGATGAAGTATTCATTTTTTGCCCACTTAACGGATAAATCAGCCAAATTGCTATTAATTTTTGTCTTCAAAGTAATTTGATAATAAAAATAAAAAATGTAATAATAGTTTCCCATTTCCTAAAATGTAATATTTTCTTTTTCCAAACTCAATGTTGAGATAATGATTAAAATTCTTTTTTTGAAAGAGATAATGATTAGAATTCTAAGCCCTGGATTTGCAATTGTGTTAATACTTCGCATTTTGCTCCATCTTCATACAATTCTTTCTTAATTATTAAAATAATGAAAAATTATAACCACCATATAATTGAAATTAAAAACGAAATTAAAACTATTACATATTCTAATATAGAATCTTAAAAAGAATACTTCTTTTAAATCACATTATATTAAACAGGTTCTATATTAGACGAAGTTTATATTTCTTTTAAATCACATTACATATGATCTGAAAGAAATCAAATTCAAATTAGGTAAATTAAATACTGCCCGTGCATCGCACGGGCTTGAAAGCTAGTACTTGATATAAAGAAGTGTTGAGGTTTATTCCTCCGAGTTTCAAGGACTCAACACCTTCCATTGGGCTTTCGTTGGATATTTGGATAGATTGGTTATATTTGGAGGATGAATGAATAGTAATAAGGTACAAGTACTTAGCAAGACAAAAGAAAAACAGTAAATGAACCAAGTTCTATTATGTAACTTAAAACAATTACAGCATACCCTATGGGTCGAGGGCCGAGCATATACTTCTAGCCGATGATGCAAAAGAATAAAGAGTTAAAGCTAGTGAGTACAAGTTGTCAACCCTTAACAATGAAATAAATACTACTATTTATACTATCATGAGGTAGGTGGTATTGATGATATAAGGAGGACCATGAATTGCTAATCCTCCAACCACCAAATCTTGTGTATCTAGTGCATTTAAAGTGTTTCCCACCTAAATCATTGCTTTCCCGCCAACTATACTGAGCATATCGGGTGAGGCATCCCTGATTGTTGACTAAATGACACAAGGACATGGAGTCGCGCGACGCATGCCACTCGTGCTGGGCCGCCCAGCCTCTGGGCCTTAGCGGACTCTGGCACTATTCCTTCACGTGGTATTGATCCAATTACCCCAACACAAGCCCTCCACATCTGATGTTCTGAGCATGTGCGGTATATAAGGAAGTAGAAAGATTGATCTTGAATGGCGCGGTCCGATGCTCCTGATGCAGCATTTGTTGAGGCGGTTCCCGAGATTCGGGGTGGTAGTTTTTCGGTGGGCACTTCAATTCCCAGGTAACCGTAATGATTACCTGACTATTCATCTCTGCACGACACGTGTCATGGGATACGCTCCTCACCACGTGTCGCTTGGTGAATGGGCCTTTGGGCGGTGGATTCCGCTATAAATACCCGCTTTATGAGATGATTAAGGGTTTCCGAAATTCTGCTTCGCTTCTCTCTAGGGTTTTAAGTTCTCCTCTATGCCAAGAAGTTTCTTTTCGCTATTCCTCCGCCGCTCAAAAACATGTATTTCTTCTTCCCTTGAATTCTCTCTGCCTTAATGTCTAACTCCTCGGAACACGAGATGGCCCTCGGTCTTCGGGAGAATCCGGGGATCCCTCAGCCATTGGTGAGGAAATGGAGGATAGTCACAGAGTCATAGACCGACATCATCGACATCTTCCCGCACCAACCTGGATTTTATTAAACGATCTTGGCTCGGCTCGTTTTCACCCATATTAAGATGTGACTAATTCTTAACATGAGGCTAATATGAAATTGTGACAAATATTAAAATTTGTTATGTGGCTAATATTTAAATGTGATTAATATTAACATGTACTAACATGTACTACGAAACAAATATTGAGATGTGTCTAAGATTTTCAAAAATGTTACTAAAATAAAACTTATTTATACAAATATGACTAAATGACTAATAATTATTACAATGTAGTTTTATGATAACTTAAGTTTAAAAGCTAAACATACGTTATTATGATTTCTTTACTTCTTTAGTCACTAGTCACATTTTTATAAACAATCTTTGTTTTAGTTATGAATATGTAATTATTTCATATTAAAATGTGACTAATATGAAATTGTGACAAATACTCTGTATGAAAGTTAGGAGACTCTTTGGTTGCATTAAAATTGATTCAATCAACTAATTCTGTTCAAATTGATGAAGTTCTAATTGAAGTGACTAAATTGGTATAATGAATCTGCTAATTATAAAAAAAATATTTAAAATATATTTTATTAATAAAGCAAATAGAAAAAATATAAAAGAATAATCAAAAGAATCATCTACCGTGACTTCAACCAAATGCGTAACTTCAACCTTATTTATTTTGATGAATATACACGATTCAAAAGTTGATAAGTAACTCAAATCTTAATTATTTTGATTATGCACAACTCAAAACTTGCGCATTTGGTAACAGAATTAACTAATAAGGCTCATAATGGAACAATATCTTTAAACGTTCACTTTAAAGATATTGTGGAGTTCCTTTTTATAGGTTAACAATGAGTTTAATGCACCCATCCCCCTCATGATATAGAAAGTCAGCGCATTAGTCCCATCTGATTTGAAAAATAGCTCAAACCCCCTTGTGTTTTAATTAATGGTGCACAGAACCCCTTTTATGAATAAATTTAACGATTTGGAAATCACTTTTCCTAATATTTTGATTAAATATGCAAGTAAATATGTCAAAATCTTTAAATCATTCAAAAATATTAATCATTTTTATTTTATAAGACAATTGATTTTTTTTTTGGAAGTGATTTTGCGCTGCAACAACAACAACATCCAAGCCTTAGTCCCGAAAGATATTGAGGTAGGCAAACATGAATCGATACATGATAACACCACTAAAAGGAAAAGAAAGAAAATAAAGATAAAAAAACAAGCTATTATAAAAAAGATAATATAAAACGAGATGAATATACTTAAAAATGATAAAATAAAAAGAGTAAAAATAATGTTTATATATATAAGGATAAAAGAATTAAAAAACAAGAAGAAAAAAGATGAGGAGAAGTAATAATAATACGAGATCACTCCTCCACACGAATACTCGCTCTCCACTTTGTTCTTTCCAAAGTCATACCTTCATCCAACCCAAAAAGAAGTGATTTTGCGCATAATTAATTAAAACACAAGGGAGTTTGACACATTTTTTAAATCACATGGGGCTAATACACCGAATTTCCATATCATAAGGGGATTTGATGCATTAAACCCGTTTAACAATATCTACAGGTTCGGTCATTTCAGAAAATAAATGATAAATTGCAATTAATTTTAAAACTCTAGACCAAAATCTGGCAATAGATGTGTTTTGGGTAAGGGGTAGATGAATAGTTGCACTCATCTACAGAGTAGTTATACGGTGGTTTTCTTGCAACATGGATCCATAGGCAGGTCAGATTGAGGAATGGAAG